AATGACGCACTCTCAAAGTACAGAACAGAAAAGGGATTGTAGCTGCCAGGAGGAACTTGGACCTACTGAGGTCCAGGACCTGTCCCTCATTAGCTCTTTTTATCCTGCAGTGTTAAATGATCTTTGTGCAATTAAATTTACTGCTTATTATGCTTAGGTTTCTGTCTATTTGAACTGGAAGGACAAAAGCGAGCCTATCCAAATTACCCTGTAGTTCTCACGCTAAATTAAAATACAACAAAAAAATGAAGCAGGCAAAGAATTGGTGAGATCATCCAAATATTCTAAAACAAGGAAGAAGAAAAAGGAAAAAAACAAGATAAAGTCAGAAAGCTCCTCACTTACTCTGAAGTCCCATAAACCCTTCGTGAGCTCCAGTTGCTTTAGGTTTTGGTGGGAATCCCCTGATGCCAGCTGCCCTTCTGACTGCACAGGCCTGGACTGAGGCTCCTTTCCCTTCTGATTACTATGCCCATCCCACGTTAAAACACTTTATTTGGTGTTTTTGCTGAAACACATACAATTCTCATCCATAACTCTACACTAAGAGCAGGGACTATGAAAGTTGCACAAATAAAGTTCTTGAAAGAGAATTTGAAACTCAAAAAAGTACAGGAGCAAGGGAGGTCTCATTTCTTTTCATTTAAATAGAAAGTAAATTTCTGGTCGGGGTTGTTGTAAAGAATATTTGCAAATATGACCTAAAAGCTTGGGAACTAAGAAGCAAAATAAAAAAAAAAACAAAAAAAGGCTAAATATATTTTCTCATAACAGATACTACTCGCCAAATTCCTAAGTGTGTGACTCACTATTTTTGAATACTCACGAGTAGCAGGACTTGCTCCTCAGCTAATGCTGAAGAAAAATACGGGATACTGGGTTCAGTGTTGGTCTGTGAATTAGTAATCTCTTGAGGGCTAGTCCTGATTTTTTTTTTTTTCTCTCTGAAGCTTACTGTGGGGCCTTGAATCGTGCTTTACGTCTGTACGTTCTGTTGAGCATGTTTTTAAGTATTAGGGATAATAGTTACAGTAACTTTGGAGCTTTTGCTATCCCTGGTTTCCAACTACTATTCTGCACAGGGATAATAGGTAGCCGTCTCAGAGGATGGACAGATTAATTTCTAACAGGTAATATACATAAAGCTCTTTAAATGCAGAAAGCACCGTATAAGCACTAAATGTTACTATTATAGTATTAAATATCCAAGGCGGATTTACTTTGCTAAAAATTACCTAGTTAGAAGTCTCATGTTTTTCATAATGTGGCATTGCAAACTGTGGCTGGTTAATGCACCTTTGGAGACATTGGCTCTGTGCATTTGAAAGCCATTAATCTAAGCCCCAGCTGGATATTTTAGTTCACAGGGAGGAAGGTCTCAGATTTCAGTCTTTCGCTGGAGCAACTTGTGCCATTTCCTGAACTTCAGGCAGGAGGAGGCTGATGGGAGAAGGAAGTGCGCTCCCCTCCTTTCTTTCTCTCAATCTTCTTCTCTGGCAATCCAAGGAAAAAGGTTGGACAATGGTGTTCAGCAAATATTTCTGGATTTCAAATGCTTCTGTAGTGCAGATTTCCTTCCAAATTACAAATAATTCTTCAGTAAAGTTAAATCAGCAATTATGGATTATGATTCTAAATTTCTGGTGGATTTACTTTGCTGATTCAGATTTAAGTGGCAAATTGGCACTGCTAGGTCTTGGTCCCACCATAAACGTGAAAATATGGAGATATTTCATATGCTTGTGCATATAAAATGTTTATTTCACCAGTTCACGTACTTTTTATGATGACCGAAGAAATCCAGGTTAGAAGTCGTTGACCCCAACTGTTAGAGTTGTACAAAGATGCCATGTTTTTGAAGACACATGGACTCATTCAGTCATGAATCACAGCATCTGTTGACAGAAATGCTTTAGAAACAGGTAACTCCTTATGGAAACTCCTTATGGAAAGGAGATGCTGCATGCCAGATGGCATTTGCCAGTTGAATGGAGTAAATCAGTAGGACCACTACACTAGATGGTAGATTTATTTGAAGATTGAACATGGAGAGTTTTTATTATTGTACGTGCCTTTTTTCAGTGGTAAAACAAATAAAAAGCGAAGGTGGTGAGGTTACTTGTTTGTATCCAGTGAAATTGGGCAACCTGTTTCTGATAGTTTGGTTTTTGTTTGTTTGCAGCTCCTGCTTCTCCTCCCAAAGACGTGACTGTGGTGAGCAAAGAGGGAAAACCTCGGACAATAATTGTTAACTGGCAGCCTCCATCCGAAGCCAATGGCAAAATTACAGGTGCAGTTTGCATGAGCAATAAAGGCAGATACAAGATGCCTGGTTAACAGCAGAATATAATCTGCATAACTATGTGAACATGTACTGTATTTCATTTAGCCTAGAGCTAGCCAAGAGGTCTCTATCTTCTTTGTCAATCTCTTTAGTAGCTCAGTTTAATTATTTACTTTTGTACCTAGTAAAAATATATTAAGATATAAACTAACTGCAGTGTGAAATTGGAGTCTAACCAGAAATATAATTGAAAGTTTAAATATCTCAATAACCTTTGCCTTCATCAGCTTGTGCTATTCTAATAGCATGCCTCCAGAAATAGATATATAATGCTTCTGGCCCATCAGTATTTTATTTAGCAGACTCCATCCCAGTGCTCTTTGTCATCTTTGTGGCACAGAACAGACTTAAATTCAGTTTATTAGTCCCCTGACATAATCATTAGGAGTAAACTGTTATTTGCCTTTGTAACTGCATCACTTTCACGTAGGATAAATCATTTTACGGAAAACAGTAATTACTGTTTCCTTTCTGTAATTTCTGTTTGGATTCACATTTCTAAAGGCTTTTTGATATCATTCACTTCAATTTTCCTTTTTTACCCCAGGCTTTAAGCTTAAAGCAGATTTTATTTTCATATAGTTTGCAGTGTATGATTTTGCTGCCGTTCTCAGAACTAACTTCGGTGCACGGTCAAGCCTTTGAAACCTGTCACCAGCTGGCATCTGATCAGGCAGTACTGTAGCCCAGGTTCTAGACAACAGACTAAAACTAACTAGATCCCTCTGAAAAGGCAGAATACTGGAGACTCTTGACCTCTAGTAATTACAATAAACTTTTAAGTAAGCTGTAGGAAAGACCCCTAAAAGGCAAAGAGGCACTATGCACGCAGCACAAAGGCTGCAGGTGAGACGGTGTGGCTCTAACAGGTACGCTGTCTTTCTGGTGTCAGCGCTAAAAAAATAGGGCCGGAGGGGTAGTGCAACACACCAGTGCGCTGCTCTGCCGTATCCTCGGGTGCCAAGTGTGTCTCACAAGTGGAGCTGTAAGGATGTGCTCTAACAGACGGCAGCTTACTCTGCACCAGAATGCCTGTCTGAGCCATTTGTATGTCTCTGCATGCATATAGCTGTTTATATGTTGTGTATATATATTTTTATATTGGCTATAAAGCCAATTCTGCGTTATTTTATTATCAACAAGATGTTTCCTCTATATGAGAAAGAAGGTTTGACTGGAGAAACAAGCCTTTATCTTAACTGCAGGTTAAAGGACTTGGTTGCTAGCAGTCAGTTGCAGCAGGGTCATTCAGACAGATGTGAAATGTAAGGCACAAATATCCCCAGGTTATATATGCTCCTAAAAAGATAAGCCTATCATCTTACATCAAGTGCATACATGAGAAAGGGAAGACAATGTACAAAGAGATCAGCATTTGCTTGCACAATGCGATTAGCAAAATTATCATACACATTCAATTCAAAACCTTACATTTATTCATATGTGTTGAATGAAAACATATGGTGTTTATTACTTTTTGCATAAGCAGCAGTTAACATCTGAAAAATAAAATAAAATAAACCGTTCTGTGGTACGTCTGAGTCCACCAAACATCAGGTTCATTTGCCAGAGGAGCAAGGCAGGAGCGTGCAGGGACGCGTGGGCTGAGTGCCCTCTGTTGGGGAGAGCCACCGCCAGCGGGAGAAGCAGCTTATTACTCCAGTAATTACTCATTAACTGTCGTGGTTTAACCCTAGCCAGCAAAACCAGGACATTAACTCAGCTCAGTTCATTCTGTGCATTAGGTAATGCCGTAAAAACTAAGTGATGATGTAATTCCGTGCACTGGATAGCATGTCTGTGGAATACTTGTCTTTTCAGCTCTAGTCTCCTTTTGATGTGGTTAAGATGGATGTGAAATACTGAACTGTGCTAGTCTGGATTCCAGATGCTTGTGCATCATTATAGTTGCTGACTAATTAGTACAGTCATACGTTAACTCAGTAGTCATGTGCGGCTATATTATATATAGTGCTTTTAACTGTCCCTACATAGATATATATGGCGTCCCTTCTTAGACGAGTTACAGATACGTTGCTTTGTGACCTGTACAAGTAGCAAATTATTAAATCTACTCCCCAGTAGTTAACTATGCCACCAAGGGAAGAAATGGAGCGTGCCAGACCTACAACTGGCGTTTCAAGTGTCACCCTCCATGCCATACTGGTCACTGTGAATTATGTGAATTTGGGGTATCAGCAGTATTTTCAGTTGCTTTAAAGAAGTGGAGCTCGCTCTGGAGAACGTCTGCCCTTCCTTACTGTAACTCCCAGGCTGGTGGTCTGTTGGACAAGGGAAGCAGCCATTTGTGCGTGAAGAGCTGATGACCCAGCTCTATATTGGTGCAAGTATTTATTTTATGCTGGGGCTCTGTGTTTCTTATATTAAAAAGTTATAAAGCTTTTACTTCGTATTGCTTTTTAATTGCAGTATATTTTAATTACACAACATAAACTCTTCCCATACCTTTTCTTCTGTGACATGCAAGGTAGCTTCAGTTCTCTTCAGATTATTGCCATCTTTGTTAATAAACTGAAAAATAATAAAATAATTATAAATTACTGAACACATGTTCTTTAGTGCATGAGAATGTTTCGTTGTTTTAACGTTCTATAAATATTAATACTTTGAGGATGTTTTGATAATAACAGCTTTATGTTATTTTACATTATTTGGTCTATGAACAGGTAAAGAAATGGAAATGAGGAATATCTCTGTATTCAATGATCAGTGGTCAAAAATAATTTTGATATTTTAAATGGCTTTTTTTCCTCTTAACATATACTTTTGAACAGTTTAAAATTTAAGATGGGAAGGCTGGTCTAATATTTGAATGCATTCTTAAGTCTTTGAAAAAGTAAGAATACACTTTCAGAAAACCCATAATCATTGAGCTGTGCGATATCATTAGAAGTCAATAGAACATTTTCTGTGAGATCTGACGACTGTCCTGTTCTTGTATGTATAAAGTTCTTTTGCTTTTTCCTTTGAATAGGATACATCATTTACTACAGTACGGATGTGAATGCTGAAATACATGATTGGGTTATTGAACCCGTTGTGGGAAACAGACTGACCCATCAGATACAAGAACTGACCCTTGATACGCCGTATTATTTCAAAATTCAGGCCCGCAACTCGAAGGGCATGGGGCCTATGTCTGAGGCGGTTCAGTTCAGGACCCCAAAAGGTAAACTGTCACGTATATCTAAATATCTTCCTCCTCGTTTTCTGAATGCAGCCTCTCTAAGGATAAGATACCAGTAGCATGAACTTTATATTTAAACTGGAAAAGACAGGAAGACAATGGAGTTTGACTAGAATGGAATTTTCTATTGGGTTGCTCTTGCATGTAGTTAATACATATGCAAATGTTGCTCAGCTGTTTGATCAATTGTGTTGTTTCAGAATTACTGGTGGGCACTTAGGTCATCTAGTTATTAATGCTGAGGGTCCACGTCCTAAATGCGCTTTTTAAAAAAACAGGTTTTAGTTGCTTTAAGATTCTAGGTCTTGTGTGTCACGTCTGCCCATGATGAAATGGTGTAAAGCAGCAGGCTCTGGAGTCGGTAGCCAGCGGCACAGCTGCTCGCCGGTGACTTGGATGATATAACGGGAACTAGTGTGACACAACAGGCTCTTAAATCAAGAACTGCTTGGTGATGGGTAACTAGTGATATACTACAAATTCATGATAGCTTGGGGAAAAAGTACTCTAAGGAGAGGTGAAAAATTAAAAGTTATGAATAGATTTTTTAACAGTACTTTTTCCATATGAGTATTGGTGGTTAGAGATGAGAGCTCTAGCTAGTCTGCTTATGCTATGTGAAACTTTAAATTCTGTCTCTCACTCCTTCAAGCCTTGTGATCTTTCTCTTGTTTTTTCCTTCCCTGTGCTTGTCCCACTAGCTGAATCCTCAGATAAAATGCCTAATGATCAAGGTAAATGAATAGCCACGCTTTCTCTTTTATTCCATCCTTTGCACATTTTGTTTTTCCTGTCCATGCGCTGTTGCATTTCCTAAATGAAACAAATCCTACATCTGCTGCTCTAACTATAAATGAGCAAGTTCCTGTTGTGCTTTTAATAGTGGAAGAACTGGAAGTCCTATTTGTGGTTTGGGTGTTAGGAATATAAAGTGATCTCTGTAGTCAGATGTCACATGAAGGGACAAGCGGGTTGTGCCAGAGCTGAATCATTCTGTCAAAATGAATTTGGATTAAGTGATACTCCAGCCAGCCTCTGACCATTGATGCAAGATCTCAGTACACAGAGGTGGAAGATCAGTTATCTAATTAGCACAAGTGCTGTTTTGTGAGCTCTACATCTATAATTATTTTCATAATAAAGGAAAGTATGTCTGCTCTAGAAAGCTTTTTTGCAAGAGAGATTCTGCTTGTCAGCTCATTTAGACTCCAGACTCTCCTGAAGCACACAGCATTAGCTACTAAAAGCCTTAAGGTTTTAAAATGCTCGCTTGAAAAATGGTAGCTTTGAGTTGACTACATTGAATTATAAGGTGAATGTCCCAGGGCTATTTTTCCTTTCTTCCAAATAACCTACAAGCCCAATAAAAAGGGGAAGAATTAGTCTAAAGGGATGAGTTTAAAAGGACATTGGCAAGCAGCTTAGACATACAATTAAATAGATCCTAAAGGGGTTGAGAATGAGCTTTTTTTTGACTTGCTTTTCAACTTGTTACTTAGAAGTAATTTATTAAATATGCTTTTACCCTCTGTGTACCAAATAATGCTGATACTAGACAGTTATGGAGTAAATTCATATCCAGACTTGTGTAACAGAGATGCTAGCTGAGATTCAGGCTTGTCTGTGGGGAAGCAGATGCTCTCCGTGTCATCATTAGCGCTCAATTGCAAGTGGAAGGGAATAGGGGAAGATTAAAAGGTTTTATGTAAAAGTTGCTGTTTTCTGTTCTGCACTATTCTCACCTCATTTCAGCAGGTAACTACATCTTCTCATCTGTCGTTATCATCCTAAAGTAACATATTCTTCTAGTAACAATTTAATTAATTTTTATCAAATTATATAATTCATAAATCATAAAACCCTACATAAAAGCCAAGAGAATTTTGTTTCAGAATTCCTATAAGAACACTCAGAGATTATAAATCATGGCAGTAGGTTAAACGTAGAAAAGGAGAAGACGAGCTGAAGAGCAGCAAAGCCTGCTCTGTGACAGAGTCACTGAACTGCAGAGTTGCGTCTTTCGGGAGATAGCAGGCAAGTTATTCGAGACTGGGAAGGAATAAAACTACAGTGGGATTGACTCTGGCCTTAGTGGTTCTGTCTTTTTTTCTCTCTCCCCTACTTGAATGTTTTTCTTCTGTATTAAGCACACTATATTGTTCTTCCACACTATATTGTTCTATAGCACACAGCTTGTATTAAAAGTTAGTGGCTCTTGCTGTCAGGCTTCAAGGAGTTGCACTAGCAACCAAAGCAAAGGTTAAGGTATCCAATCCTAGCAAAACTATCCTAAAGTAACACAAAAATTAAAATAGGTTTTCTGGCTGCAGATACCTAATGGGTAACATGGAGATTCTCAAGCTAAAAAAAAAAAAGAAAACCGATTTCAAGGAAATGTTATCTTAAACTGTTCCTTAATATAGAAAGAAATGGAAAACCTCAACAACAAACTCTGTAAGATCCTGGCAAAAAGGCTGGTGCCCACACAGAAGATGCAGCACGTGCATATGCTGGTCTGGAGCATATCGTGTAGAAGCAAGGCTTACGCTCCCTGTTGCGGGGTGACTAGCTGCTTCCGAGGGGGCGATGAGTTGCAGTCCTTACGCCCGCATAAACTGCAGAGAAGAGTCAGGTTGTCTTTCAGGTTGCACTGCATAAGAGATGAGGTCCCCAGAACTTAAAGGCTGAACAGTTGATCCCTGGTTTCAGGAATTAGATGCTGAGAAGCGTCCTGGTTAGGTATCTAAATTTCATCATATTTGGAAAACTGGACTTTGTATCTTGTAGTTACCTTTGCATTTTTGGAAATGGGCAGGCACTGACACCACGCAGTCGGTGCCAGTATCAGGCGTCCCTGAGCTGCCTCGCTCTACGAGGATCGTGCGCAGATAGTTATTCCCAAGGATGTCTACACCCTTTGGAAATATGACTGCTTGCCAGAATACTGCTCTCTCCGTATCGCCGCCTTCCAACGTTTTTATCATCTAAATATGATTTATATACTCTGTCACATACACACACACATATGGGGGGTGTAGAAGATCTGCAGTTGGCTGTGTGGGTATATACATTGTTCAGGGAGTGCAGAGCCCATGATAAGCCGCACCGACTCAGTGTGTTACACCCACGTGTACCACATGATCCCTGTTGGTCTGTGCAGGTGACTTTGTATATCTTATTATCTACTCCATTATTTTATGTCATCTGTTAACTTCAGTAGCAGTTATTTTAATTTTCTTCCATGGTGTTATTAAGGATATTGAATTACACTTGGCCAAGCACAGGTCTTTGCAAACTCATTAGAAATATCCCTCATGAATAATGATTCTGCAATTATAATTCTTATTCTTATCAGTTAATTAGTTGTTAATCTTGTTAATATGTGCCACATTGCTTTTTTTATTACGCTGTTTTTAACAAAGCATTGTACAGTACTCAGTAAAATGTTTTATGGAAGTCTAAATATAGTATGTCTGCATAGTTACTGTTACCAACCAAATTTATAGTCTGACATTTAGTTTGTTTGAAAATACCTGTTTTCAATAAAAAAGAAAGAAGGGCATAAAGTATGCCACCATCTCCTATCTGTCACGTTTTCCATGATCTTGCCTATGTTAAGGCTCTGCTGCACTAAAAATGCATAGGGTGTCTATTTGTCCTTTTAAAATATCGTCAGTTATTTTTATTCCCCCCTTCTCCCGCAGCTTCTCTGGTGCTCCAGCGTATCTTCAGCGCCAGGTTCAGTGACTCAGAGAATTCATCTAGGGGTTTTTTCACGTCTTTTCGGTGCAAATTATCTGGTCATACAGATGCAAATATATTAAATACAAGCTGTTTAAAATTCTGTTAAATTATTTCATTGCTGCTGCAAAATTATTATTCCAGTACTTCAAGAAGAGAACGCATTTTCACTGAATGCAGTGTCCTCTCTAGACTGGCAGGTGCAATATGTTTTTTCCATTACAGATTTGTCCTGCAATACGTCTTTTCCATTATTTTAGACTACATCTAACTTCTCCTTACTGTGTACACGTAACATTCCTTCTTCTTACTCTTCTCGGGGCTGAATCAGTATTCTTGCTGGTACCTTTTGCTGGTTTTACCAATTGTCTTTATCTCACAGTGACTAATTTACAGGCTTTGACTTTACGTTCACGATTCCCATTTCTACACACCCTTTAACATTCAGCACTTCTTGATTAGAGTGGATTTTTAATTGAAAATCCTTCTCCTGATTGTGAAACTGCCGAATTTGCAGACTTTTGGGTTTTTGTGGTTTTGTGCATCACAGTGTAAAAATGTACAAAGTATTACGGATTCCTATAACAAGAGGAATGTTGTTTTTTGTATCTTGCTGTATGTTTCCCCCACTACAGTATTTTTATCATTCATGGTAATTTAGCATTAGTGCATTTTAATGAAAACACAGAAGTGAAAGAACCAGGGTTTTGTGTACCTTTATCCGCGGGAAGCATTCTGCTAACTCAGGAGAGATCTTAACGTTAGAGGTGAACTTGTGACTTCATGCGTCTTGCTGTGGCAGCAAGTGATCTAAATTAGACCTGAATTAAGCAAGGGGAGGTACTTGTTAGAGTGAAAAGAGGACAGCATTTCAGGTGGTAGGTCAGCTCTTGCATTTAGCGCCTAGGAGCCCACTAGCAGTAGCTAAGGTTCAAGAGGGGCTGTGTGATTTGCCTCGGTTTGTATTAATTGAGGTACAGATATGTTTACTTCCATCGTCAGCCTATAAACATACAGCTGTGAAACTAATTAATTTGTTTTCCCAGGTTTCACCAAAAACATTTTTGTGATGCTTCATTGTCACTTGTGGCGAAGGTGAAACAAACAGAAAAGAATGGGGAGAAGCTGAAAGCAAGTTTGATGGATCGGCAGGGACTTAATATTACGTTTACTGTGCTTTTGACCTCCACTTATTGCCAGTCTTCCACACTTACTGTAATTAGGTATTAGGAAGAGAAACCTGTATAATTACTGTTTCAAGATGATTAACTGTCTGTACAAGTGCGGCAAAGCCATTTGCCTCAATATATACATGTGTATTACTGCAAATCATTTTTATTATATTTTTAAAAATTAATACTAGTTGAGGCTCCTAAGCTTACTTAGGAAAATAGTAATGCAGGAAATTAATTATTAGATAGCTCTTTTGAAGAAGTGGTTCTTTTCTTGGAGAAACACAGTTGCTGTTCAAAGCCAAATCATGTTGTAGGGGAGAGAAAAGGAGGGAGGAAAAATGCTCACAATGGTTCAGAGAAGTTCTGAAAGAGTTACCTTAGAAATGCTAAAGTGTGTGTTTACGTGTATGTGTGTGTGTATATATGTATATAAAATTACCACATATATGACCTTTTCAGCTTCAGGATCTGCAGGGAAAGGAAGCCGCCCAGTGGACATAGGACCAGATTACAAACCACCACTTGGTGGTAAGTGTTGTTATAAAGCTTTTCAATTTAAATGCAGCGTCTTTCGCTGTTTCACCGCGGGATGCTATATCCGACTGAAAATACTGATTACATCTGTTCCAGTAACTTTTTCTCTTTACGATGATAGTTTTTCCCACTCAAGAAATTTTATCACTCTTCTGTCATAGTATTCTTGCCCACTGTGTGGGGTATAGGGAAAAGATATCATCACATGCATTTACATTTCAGTCTTGATAAGCAGATCTTGTTCCCAGTTTAGTTTTAAATGGCTGCTCTAGTGCACAAGTGTAAAATTAATTCAGTAAGAACATATTAGGAAGGAAAAAAATCATCTTAACTCCTTCTCCTTATTAGCACTGTGCATTGCGGAAGCCTTGCCCTAAGGTAACACTCATTAGTGTTACAAAAGGTGTTTCTTTCAGAGGAGAGTGACCACTGTAGAATACTGATACCGATTCACGTGGGTCCAAGGGGATGCCTGTGGTGCTGTAGTTTTAGCAAGGTCCCAGGGTAACTCTCCTTAGACTCTAAACTATTGAATTTTTTAATGATAACTATTTGAGTAGGGTGAACGTAAATTTTTATAGAGTGTTAGCTGGAAATGGATCTATAAAGCATCTTACAGATTTAACAATTGTACAGAAACACAATTGGCAAATGACAGAAAAATAAGCAAGCTCTTCACTTGAAATCCTAGCAGACAAACCATCTTTCTCGTTCTGCTAATCTGTATGATTCTAGAAGTCTTTGATGGGCACTGCTTGCTTTTGATGGGGATTTTTTCTATATAATAAATAACCCCTTTCTCCCATCTCAAACTCTTACAGGCAGTAACAGTCCCCATGGAAGTCCTACTTCTCCCTTGGACAGCAACATGCTCCTTGTAATCATAGTATCTGTTGGAGTGATCACCATTGTGATAGTGGTGATAGTTGCTGTCTTCTGCACTCGTCGTACAACTTCTCACCAAAAAAAGTAAGACGTATGGGTGGCACTTTGCCCTGTCCTACCTTTCTCACTTAATTCTATTATTTAATCTTTTCTTTATGATGCTTTAGAGTTTATTACTTTTAAGTCTTACGGGCTGTAGAAATTCTGTTCTGATAACAGATCAGCAATACAGTTTAAATTCTTGTGTTCAGAAGATAACATGCCTCAATACAGCTGTGTTATCATGTGTGTGATGATGATGATGTTCTGTTTTTCCTAACCAGTGTTTCAGAGTTTGCAAACCATCAGGAGTTTACAGGCAAACTGGGGCAATGCTTTCATGTATACCTGCACTTGCCCCTCTCCAAGGAGAAATTACTGTTTAAAATATTGTTTCCAAACTTGAGCCAACACATCTGTTTAGAGCTGTGAGAGCTCAACAGCTCAGGCAGATTCTCACTTCTGTCTTAGCATGTACTTCACTGTGTGGAGTAGGTTAACAAGCTGTGCCTGATAATATCCAATTTTTAGATAGATTACTGGAGTGGAATCTGAATCTGGTGCAGGACTCCGTAGAAAAGTGCTCCAAAATCCAAAATATAGGTGTGTATCTGAATTCTGCCCTCATTTAGAGCCTCTGACTACAGCAGCGATGCTTCCATTTATAGGCTCCTGAAGGTTGTTTCTGCATGTTCTTTGAAAGAACTGAACAGAGCTGAAAGGTTTTTTTTAAGTTTGAAAAGACTCTGTTATGCAAAACAGAGTTTTAAGAAACTGATTAAAAGCCAAGCTTAGAAGTCAATCTCTACCTGCTTTGCTGACGCTGAACCATCCTGCAAAAATGCAAGTTCTTCAGGAGAGGAGAGCAAGGATATATGAGTGAGGGTCCAGCAACTGGGGGATATGCTTTGGAGAGGGCAAAATTCATGGGCCTGTGCCCAAGAGACGTATTTTATTTTCAAAGAGCAGAAATAACCCTGTGAAATCTTGCCTTTGTTTTCCCAGTTTCTAAATGCCACCTCTTACCTGCAGCAACCCACAACCAGTGAATAACCTTCTGATGTGTTTTACTTGTTCAGCTACGGTGCTCAAAGCAGGGTGCTGGCAGCACGTCTGGCTGCGTAACACCTACATGAGAGGCTCCTTTCATTGATATTTTCAAAATTTTATTTAGTCATATCTTAGCCATTTCTAGCAAGTGTGCTACCCAGAGGGGGACACCTTCCTCCGTCATTGCCAGGGTCCAAAGTCAGGAGTGTGTGTGTGGTGGGCAGTGCTGGAACTCTACATTTTACTTTTCCAAAATTCCGTCATGTGAAATGTCTGCCTCACAGTCAGTTTGCTGCTGCTGCTATTCAACAGCGATGAAAAAGCACGTTAGTTGGATGTGTCTAACCTGAGCAGTGGTAAAATGAACATTCTTGTGATTGGTCTTTAGAGTTAACCATCCTATTGTGATAATTGGCTATTTGCACACTCCTTCAACAGCTGTTGTTTGAGGTTGGTTGTAAGCCCTGGAGTACGGGCACAGCATGATGTACGTACACTTCGTGTTTAGAATATTCTCTTAATAACCATAAGTACTGGAAACTTAATTTTTGTTAATGAAAGCTTAGACTGTAGAGCACAGTTCTGCAGCATGTGGTAGCATTTGAGACAAATTTCATGGCATCAGAGTTGCAGAATATGCTTTGAGATGTCAGATGTGCTTATATGTAAAATTCAAAGCTTCCTGCCCTGTGGGTAGCTTTTGCTCAGCTGGACACAAGATCTGAAGGAAATCTCAGTGGAAATTTGCCTTTTTCAACAAGCGAAAAGAAGCCTACATCTAAGAACATTTCATTTGTTTTCATTCCCAAGGAAACGAGCTGCCTGCAAATCAGTGAATGGGTCCCATAAGTACAAAGGAAACTCCAAAGATGTCAAGCCTCCTGATCTCTGGATCCATCATGAAAGACTGGAGCTAAAACCCATTGATAAATCTCCAGATCCCAATCCAATCATGACAGATACCCCAATCCCTCGCAACTCCCAAGACATCACCCCAGTTGATAATTCCATGGACAGCAATATCCATCAAAGGCGGAATTCCTACAGAGGTGAGCTATCAAGGAGTACTTTGACCGTGATGTTTAAAAATTAAATACGTTTTACTGTATTTGATGAAATCACTTTATTGACATATTATTCAATTACCCGTAGGTTTTTTTGTTCTTATTTTCCAAGTAGTGAATTGGGTTTGTGCCTATTTATAAGACACTCTGAAAAGGATGGATCCCATGTTTTAGTGAGAAAATTGAGTGCCCAGGAGTGAAATGATGAATTTCCCTTGGTAGATACTGATTGGTAATCAGAAGATCATCTAACAAGTGTTTCATATTAAACTGTTGAGAGACGTGTGTGACATTTTTTCAGTGGTCAAACACACAATCAGGTTTTGGAGCTTTATTGCTGAACTCTTGAGGTGTGGGTGAGTTTTCCCTCAGTGAGTGGTTAACTTGTTAATCCAGCATGTCTTACCCATACGTGTGACACTTCTTACTGCCGCTCACTGCCCAGAGCTGCACTGCCAGAGGTTTCTGTTTGCATTATGGCCTGGAGAGCTTCTCCAATAATCTTTGCCCTAACTGTCCTCTTTTCCACCTTCTAGTGAAAGATGAAAGAGCTGTTTTTATCAATTATGAGTCACAGAACTGCTTACAAACAGGACAGCCCAGAAATAGAGAGAGGAGGATTGAAATCATCTGGTATGGTATCACAGAAGTCTTGCTGCAATGGTAAATAACCTTCAGTTTTTTTCCTTCAGGGCATGAGTCAGAGGATAGCATGTCCACACTGGCAGGAAGAAGGGGGATGAGGCCCAAGATGATGATGCCTTTTGATTCTCAGCCACCTCAGCGTAAGTCAACAGCCCACCTACCAGCTGGCTTGAAATTGGGAGCACCCAAACAAGCCATGTTGGTACTGTATGCGCACGCACACACACTCACATACTGCCTTCCTACCTACTTCTCCTAAGTAATTCTGTCGTATCTGCTGTGGAAGCAGTTCAAAGAAGGCATCCTGAATCCCTTATCCTGAAGGCAGAGTTAGAACAAGTTAAAAGGAAAAACTGAATAGCTGTGTTTGAGTGAGCAGGAGGCATGCTGCAAAAGTGGGGAAGAGTTAGGAATGTGTCCAACAGTCTGTCTGTCCCAGTCTCCAGCAGTGGCAACTGCAGGTGCTTTTTACGGAGAGCCTATGAGCCTGGCTGCTTTTTATAGTCCATTCCCTTTGTACTCTGCCAGTATCCAGCTGTTAGATAGGAATTGTAGAGAGTTGGTAAATCTTTGTCAGGTTCTTCTCCACCGTTAGTTTTCTCCTCCCCAGACCAAACAGTCATAGCCTTGTTAGCCTCCCCTTATGAGGCAGCTGCTCCATCCCCTTTACCACTTTAGCTGCCATTCTCAAAACCTTTTTTAACTTTACTACGTTCTTCTTGAGATGCCAAGAGGCCAGAGCTGCGCACAGTACCACCAAGGTCTTACAGAGCAGGAAACGGTGTCCTCTGCCTTGTTCTCAATACCTTCCTTGCTGGATGAGGTACTACATTCTCTTGGCTTTTTTGGCTGCCATTGCATATTGAGCTAATGATATCAGAGATCTGTCAACCATATCTCTGAAAACTCTTTGCTGAGTTGTAACTGCCAGCTCTGAGTGCAGCATCATATAAATACTGTTTGGATTACTTTTCCCTCAATGTGTTACTACTTTAACAACTTATTTAGCTATGCCAAAGTTTACCTGCCATTTTTTTGCCTGCTCGCTCAGTCTTGTGAGGTCCTTCTGGAGTTCCTTGCCATCAAAATAGCATTGGACTGCCCCAAAGACCTTAATATAATTTCCAAACTTGAAGATTTCTCTGATAGCTTCCATGTCTGGGTCGCTGAGAAAGATAACTGACTAAAACCAGTCCCAGCACTGATACCTGGGGAATCTCCTGCTGACTCTCCTCTGTCTGGAAAATTGATGATCATCCCTTCCTTTTGCTTCCTATCTGTAACCAGCTTTCAGTCCATAAAAGAGCTTTCCCTCCAACAGCAACTTAATATTTTAACTTTGGAGTGGAGTCAGAGCCTTTTTGAAAATGTAGCTGTATTATATTCACTGGTTCCCTTTATTTTCGTATTTACTGGCACTGTCTTGAAACTCTGAGGTTAGTGATGCAGGATTTACTTTTACAGGAGTCATGCTTGTTCTTTTCTAAATTACCATGTTTACCCTTATCTGCAGTCATCTTATTCTTATACATTATACATAACTGCTGTCCCCACTGCATGGACAGCTATTGGTGAAGCAGTTCTCGACCAGCTGTAGTTTACAGTCCACCCTCATATGGCAAACCCAAATCAGTATGGATTTATGCTAAAATGCGGTAGCGGCTCAGGAGCAGCTTCCGAAACAACTCAGCTGCTCATCCAGTAGGAGAGAATTAGAGAGCTGGGGCAATAGATCACCACACGTGATGCACTTCAGCCAGCGCTGAAGTGTGCCGAATGCTCCACAGAAACAGCATAGCACCCTTCAGACTATGTTACTGAGTGAGAAAGATACTCAGCAACTTACATGATCAGTCCCACATCACATGAAAAGATGTACAGTTGACAGAATGATGCAGTGGTGGTACACGTGTTGGGGAGGTAGTGTATTGTAGTTCTACTTTTTGATGGTATTCAAGCTGATGTGATGATGCTGGCAGGTGTAGTTGTGGATATGATTTTCCCTTGCAGCACTAAACCCAGCTGTGACATACCTTTTTGATACCAGTCCTGCTGTGTTCGCTTGAAAAGCGTATCTGTTTTCCCCCTCTTTATTAAATATTGCCTTGTCCAGAAAGAACGAAACAGACACAGCTGGCTTGGTGTGACAGGTTAGCATGATGCACTAAGTGTCAGGAAGGATAGGTAAGGTCTTCTGGTGCCTTAGGGCTTGAGAATATTTTTGAGACTTTGTTTGACTTTTTATCCCATTTGCAAAAGCTCTGAGGGCTTCCAGCTGTAGGTTTCTGTTGTATAGTAAGTGGAAACATTAATGTAATGTCTTTAGACACCTTTTTGCAGAAGCTACACAGAAAACTGACACTGGTACATGAGGCTCTTTCTCAGCAAGCAACACAGAAAGCAGGACCATTTAGTGTGTTTAAGTCTGTGCCTGCAGATACCTTCCTGTTGTGGTTTTTTTCCCCCCCCCGTAGCATTCAAATCTAGTTACTTACCTTTTAAATAGTAAATTATCCTAATTTTGTCTGCTCAATTTTAGTATAATTTACAGGAATGCAACAGGAATGGTGTATGCCTAGTTAGTTCCTTCTTTGACAACTGGAAAACCAAGATTCTGGAAGGATGTTAGGAAGCAAAGAGCTATTTCTTTCTTAACACACCACATTTCTCTTTATCCAGTTCTTCATCTGAATTTTTCTCTTCCTTGAAATTAAACAGTGCATCATGGTCTTCATTAAAAGCTGGTGGTACTGATTTTTGACTTGTAAAGCTATATATGATTTAGGTCTGATAACCCAGCAAACTACTAGCAAAACCCAGCAGTTTAAGCTGGATGACTCGGTGGCAGGGTAAATTTTCTGGGGATGGGCTTTTCGCGGCATCAGGTTTTCCCCACTTGCTCACCATATTCTGCTTTGGATAGTGTTTCAGAGCTACTACGATTTTGTGTTCTTCTCCCCATCTCCAAGCTTTTAGGAAATGTCTTGAAAGGTGTAGTATACGTGCATGATTTTTTTATCATGGTTGCAAAAACATACAGGCAGCCTTTTGTAGTAACATGCATTGTATTTGATAGTGATTGAAATGCTTGCTGAAACACAGGTGTAGACTAGTGGTTTCTACAAATAGAAGTAATTAAAATGTTTATGCCTGTAAAATTTTATGCCTTAAAATCTTTATGCCTCCTACCTTGCTGACACGTAAGAGAACTCCTGGTGTCTCTGACTGTTCCCTCTGCCCGGATTTCTCATCGCCAGGCTTTCGTGGGTTATTCCTCCATTTGCCAGTTCCAGCAAGACAAAGTGGCGTTTTAATCTTGCTTGAAGCTCTTAGTGAGAATGTCTGACTTTTCACATCCCCTTGACAGCTATCTCACAGGACTTAAATCTAGAACCTACTGATTACTCGGTTTTGGAGTTTAGTTACTCTTCATTTACAGGAGGTTGATAATGATATTAGCTTTCTGTTGGCGTAACTCAATGGGAGAGAGAAATTGTTTATTACCAATAGCTGAAAATCTCTAAGAATATTGCCTCCACTGATCAAGTCATATATCACATCCTGCTGACAGGCTGTTTTCCAGGAAACGAGGAAGTCAGAGGGTTCAGATTTGTTTAGTCAGTCTCTGAGTTCAAACCACATGCATCAATGCAAGAAGTCTTAACTGAACTCACCACTGTAATGACGGATTTCTGCATCATGTCATTCCTAGAAAGTAACTTTCAAAGGCAGCACATCTGGAGAATTTCCAGAAAAGGTTCAAAAGAAAATAACGAACCACAACCTTTTTTTTTTCCTTTATGGTGCTAGTGGTAGCATTTCCCTCCAGTTTCCTGTGTTGAGTCTCTTTCTTTTGGGTGATTTTAAGCAATTCAGTATTTTAGTCTGTCATAAGAACTAAATTCTGCGCATGCTTTTCCTCCCAGCTGGGGAGTAGCGCGAGTTTGCTTTGCTGTTAGCACAAAAGGGTGAGGGCAAAGGATGATTTACATTAAGTATAAAATTCACGTCTCTCAAACAGGAAAAAGAAAATGGCAAGATTAAAAAAAGAGGGGAAAAAAGAAAAAGAGGCTTTTGGTTTGAGTGTATTGGAGCAGAGCTTTGCTAAGTCTGCACAGAGGGAAAGAATAGAGCCTTTGGTGGCTTGTCCTACTTTGTCTTACATTATTTAATTAACCAAAGGTACCACGTTTGGTTACAATGTTAAGAAATTCAATGACAGCCAGAAATTATTTTGAAATTTGAGCTCATCTGTCTCCTGTATTAGGTCTGACATTTAGGGCACAGCGTGAAATACATGGAAGTTCTAAAGGGAGCTGAGCTTCATTTTTCTCAAGCGTAACAGAAGCGCTTGAAAGATACAGCCAAGAGAGATGTACCTTCTGCACAGGAAAATGAAGAGCTCTGCCTTTTTTGGGGGTTTTGTCTCTTGGCACGGAGGGAGTTAAAGTGCTGGAGCAGAGTTGGAAAATTGGTATTGAAACATGTCCTCTTGGTGTCATTGTAAATCTGCTGAGCGATTGGCTCCCCTGTTCAGTGGCTCTGTGGGAGAAGGGAGGGATATGGTGCATTTCAGTACATGTGCATGCTTGTCTGTATGTTAAGCATTTTTCTGTCTTGTATTCATTCACAGCTGTGATTAGTGCTCATCCCATCCATTCACTCGATAACCCTCACCATCATTTCCACTCCGGCAGCCTCGCTTCTCCAACTCGCAGCTATCTCCATCACCAGGTCAACCCGTGGCCGATTGGCACATCCATGTCCCATTCAGACAGGGCCAATTCCACAGGTGAGATATAAACGATCAGGTAGATTTTGCTTGTAATGGAACAATGAGTGAAACGTCAAAATCAAAACCTGAAGCTTAACTTGGTCAATCGTCATTGCGGTGTTCCATGAGAGGGAGAGTGATGGGTTTGCGTACAGACAAAATCCTTGATAGGTTGAGTTTTCTGTAAACAGCTTCTTGTGTAGATCAGATATTGATCCTTGAGATACGTGATGATGTCCTTGGAAAAGGAGGCTTAATGTTTTACATACAACTTCTAATAGGAAGACTCCTTATTCTAAAGCTTTCAGCCCCGGAGTCTGAAACATCAGATTAAATCTAATTTGAGCTACTTAATATGATAACTTTTTTCCTAATTAGTTGTGTTTGAAACCGAGAGAGGACAAAAGTCCAGACTTTGCTACTGGGAGCTGAAATTAGTTAATCTTCCTGAAGCACAGAGAAAATTGAGGTGATTTCTGTGCAGCATTTTCAGGCTTGATGCACAATCATTTGCAATGGTTTCTGTAATGTCTCCAGTGCTCTGAAAAATTCTGAAGCAACAGTATTGCTAAATTGCATGTAGGTAACATCTTGAGATGAAGTGAATTCTGAGCTTCTCTAGTTTAAGGTCTACATTTTAATTAAGGTGCCACAGCCAACAGCGTTGTTTCCTGTTTCCTTATGAAAGCAATTCACGAGGCTGCAAATACACAGACAGACGATATGTTAGAGGCAGAGGTTTCCCTTACTCTGGTTACACTGCTGAAGTGACACATCTCACAATCCAGATTTTTTCCTGCATGTGGTCCGAGTAGGATCACGATGCCCTAAATTCAAGATACCATCTCATTGTTCTCTTAGATCAGGGTGGAGCCTGCTGCAGACAAACAAATGAAGCCTGTGATTTCATTGTAGCTTTCAGCAAGTGAAGGGATTTCAGGTCTATCTCAGAAAAAAATTTGGCTCTTCTGTATGCACTACAGTGATACATGCTTAATGTATACCTATTTAAGAATGCCAATACTGTGAAATACTCACAGGTAAAATGAGAATGAAGATTTGTGTTCCGTGCTGTTTATCTGAGGTCTTATTACATGTAGATGTTTCAGTGCAAAACTGTTCATTTGGTATTATGCCTGTGGAATCATTTAGTTCTCAAGCTTATTTTGTTATTAGACAGCCGTTGCTGTTCACCTTAAAACAGGACAGTTACACAGAATTGGTGTTGTTTGCTACACAGACAGTTAATCTGTGAATTCACTTCTTAGCTTGTAACAGCAATCTTGGAAAAGGTGCTTGCAAACACTGCTGTTTTGTTTCCATCTGACCACAAAGAACACTTCTGTTAAAGAAAATAAGCCACTTTTTTTTTTGCCTGTTGTAGAATCTGTTCGAAACACACCTAGCACGGACACCATGCCGGCTTCCTCGTCCCAGACATGTGCTGACCACCAGGATCCTGAAAGCACCACAGGGTCTTACCTGGCTAATGCACAAGAAGAGGATTCGGCTCAGAACCTCCCTACGGCACATGTCCGTCCTTCCCACCCGCTGAAGAGTTTTGCGGTGCCAGCAGTTCCACCAGCTGGTTCCACGTATGACCCTGCATTGCCAAGCACACCGTTATTGACTCAGCAAGGTGAGCGGGGGAGAACTGGCAAGGCACGCTTGCCAAAAAGAGAAAGAGGAGATTTTAAGAAGAAAATGAGACCCTCCTTAAGGGGCTGGGGGGTAGAGTTGGGCATCAAAGGAAATATATCAGAGGCTGGAGTGAATTTCGTTGGCATAATTTTCAAGGCCCTTTTCTTTTATGTACATAGATAAACTAGACAAAAATTCAAATTCAGCACTCCATAATTTGAAGTGTTCGTTTTCCTCTAACAGAATCCTTTTTATTCTACTTCCAAGAGCTTTCTGAATAGGCAAAAGAACAAATTACCTGAGGCATAACTATGTAACAAATTTATTTTAAGCTCCTAACCATCCAGTTCACTCGGTGAAGACTGCATCAATTGGGACTCTAGGAAGAACTCGACCTCCTATGCCAGTGGTAGTTCCCAGTGCCCCTGATGTGCAGGAGACCACCAGGATGCTTGAGGACTCGGAAAGCGTAGGTACTCTTACACTGCCAGTGGCTTTCTTTGGCAGTGCTTATCAAACTGTGCTGAATCTCTCTTTATATGATGCTTGTAAACTTTGGTAATGTCTGCACTGAGTCTTTCAAAGGCAGAGAATAATGAGGCTTCTGACTTCCACCAAGTGCCATTGCCTGCTAACCCATATAAAAAAACCTAGTGCAAATACCTTCTACACAAGGCAGTAAATTCAGAGAATAAGCGCTTAAATTGCAAGTACTAGTAGTGCTTTCTGAATCTGAAAATTACTTAAGGGCATACCTTCATTCCTAGTTACACAACACTAAACAAATGCAGCACTTCCATCTATTCCAGTCCACGAGGCCCACTCAGTCAAAAACTTGAAAAACCTTCGGCAACATTTTGGCTGAACTGAGGCTATTAGCTGAATGTAAAGTAATGTTCTCTGAGATATCCTTTCTTGACTCATGCTCAATGCTTCTGGTTTCTGCTAGCCTCTCACAACGACAAGGAGAGGAGAGTAAAGACAGACACCATCTATAGCACTAGTCTTTTCATTCCTTACAGTACGTAGCGCCTAATGGAGCTCTGGTTTATGACTTGGGCTTCCGTACTGGAGCTGTAGAAGTGCCCCGCACATCTGTTTTTTGCCTGCTTATCTTGATGTAAAGAGCATCTTTGTTCACAGAGCTGAAGGCCTCCAACAGTGCCATTTGCTCTTCTGTACAGCTTAAGACGTTGTGTTCATGCTCGCTTTGAGATGTCATTTATTTCTGTCTGTTTTGCAAGTGTACTGTGCCTGGATCCTATTAAAGTCATGCAGCTGCAGCTTCCTGTGCTGCTGCAGAGCACCCAAAGTGTCATCACAGATGGAAAATTTAGCATTAATACCAAAATGTTTAAAGCCATTATCCCAAATATGGTTTTAGGTACTCATAGGAAAGGGTTCTGACTTTCTGTGAAAAGTGCAACTGTTGGGCTTCTTTGGAAACAGCTTTTAAGAACTGAGGATGTTTTGAGTGTCAGGCACTGGAAAAGCTGTTTTCCTTTCAAATTGCAAGCCAAGAAGTTATTGTATTAGCTATTGTATTACTGCTACAGGAAATACTGGGTTTGAAATATTTTTTCTTTTTTTTTCTTGTTTCCTTATTGTCCTTTCCTTTTGTCACCCTCTTGATTCTACTTCTGTGTGTGCTGGCCTAGAAACTGTATGAATGCTTGATTTGGTGCACTTTTGCCCTTCTGTCTAGTTGTCACTCCTACTTTATTCTTTTTTTTGGTTGGTACCAAAAATATACTCAGTTTATTCATCAACAAATTTGTAATATTTAAATATAGCCATTAATAAATTTCTTCATTAATAAATTAGTACAATATAAAGTCACCACAGCACACTAAACACTAGTTAAAGTATGAGTTTTAAAAATTAGGATTAGATAGCGATTTGAATTGATTCTGCTTTTTTTATGAGAGCCTGTAGCGATGAGTCTGAGTACTTCCAGCTCACTGCTACTTATTGCCAATAGTCGGCAGATAATGTGTTAGACACAGGACAGGGACGACTTTTCTGGTACAGTCCAGATTGCTTGGTAAACTGGAAAGTGCCTGCTGCATTCGTTTCTATTTAAATGAAAGAAAATGTTTGTATCTAGAAGCAAAGGAAGTGAGAGCACAGTCAGGGTTGAGGGCTTCTCTCTGGGAAGGACTCCAGCAATCAATCAGCTGAGCAGTAGCTTTAATATTAGACTCTAGCCAGAAGGTCTGATAATGGACCTTAAATATATAGAGCAGAAACCATCACGCAGGAGTTTTGTTGCTTCTGACTTGGCATTAGCGGAGCTGGGATTGGAATACCACGTGCAGCCTGGCTCACCTTCTGTGAAAACGGTGTGGAGAGAGTGAAGAGGGTTTGGAGAAATGCTCCAAGAACATAAGGGGTTGAAAACTACACAGTACTGGGAGAGACTTGGTCAGCTTAGAAAAGGTTTTGAGATGAACTAGTTCATGGTATCTATCTGCATACATGAACAGTTATCATAATTCTGTTATCAATGCAATATAGATGAAGCTCGACAATTGAGGCTAAAAATGGAGTATGATTTTTAGCAAGCATAATGATTCTCAAAACAGTTTTATTGAAGTGATTCCTTCAACCTTTTTTTTCCAATTAGGCTGGGGAGATTTTTCTAAAATACCTACTTTGGTTCAAAGCAAGCTGTTATCTTGAAGCTGGAATTGATACAAGGAAAACAGATAAGATGATCAGAGTATTAAAAATCAGTGAAACTATGAATCACTATTGCAAAAAGGTCTGCACTTAAAATAGTTGTTTCAAGTTATTAATTCCTGTAACTGTCGATAAATCTGCTTCTGCTTCTTCATGTGTCAGGGTCACAATCTACACCAGAATCACTGACTATTTATCCTTATTTCTTATTCTGTCCCTCTTTAAACAAAGCAAGTCACCTTGTCAATAACTTTTTACGTCTCCCATAGAATTATGAACCGGATGAGCTGACCAAAGAGATGGCCCACCTGGAAGGACTTATGAAGGACCTTAATGCCATCACTACAGCATGACCACCGTCACCAAGACATGACTCCAGTTTCACAAGTCTTGGGACTCAGCCTTGGAACACAAGGAATTGTACAGAGGGGGGAAGGAAGAAAGAAAAAAAAAAAAAAAAAAAAAGAGAAAAAACAGAAAGAGGGACGGCACATGAGAGCATACACAGAAAGCAAACGAACCAACCAGTGCATTTGTGCTACAGCTGGTCAAAAAGAGATGACCTTTCTTGTCATCGTCCTGCAATGAAGTCATTGCCAAGTTGAATTCCATTTACCTGCTGAGACCATGCAGGATGGGACGCATCAGGCTGAAATCTAGCATCCAGACAAAAGGAAAAAAGTGGACTTCACGGTTTTTTTTCTGGTCAGGTTTTGTCTCAGTGGTGTGATTGCCCTGCCTTTTCAGTGTTGGACATTCGCATTTATGTACAATTTTATTTGTGTTTTTATTTTATCTTTTTTTATATGGGCAACTAGTACGTTATTTTTTTAAAAAAAGAAAAAAAAATTGTAAAAAAAAAAAAAAAAAAAGAAGGAGAAACTGTTGTTTTCCACAGCCTAGACTGACGTTTGACTGCTTGTTCTATTGTGTATGAAAATTCATTGCCAGCGTGGGTTGTTCTGTTTTGTTTTTTATTCTGCGTATAATTACGTCCCCTTCTGGCAGTTAATCCATGGCCTTTTGGGATGCTGCACTGCTATTTGTAAGCTTTTTTTATTATTTTTATATTATAATTATTAAAAGCCTGACTTTCTCCTCTCATCACTGTGAGATTACCAGTCTGTTTGAATTGAAATGTAATTTGAAAGGCTTGTTTGTCGCTTTTTGTGCAGTTTCAATATTTTGAGTGGGGAAAAGTAGATGGGGAAGGGGAGGGGATCCAGTGGGAGGCTTCATTATTGTTGTTTTCCTGTCTTTCTACATTGACTCAAAAGACTGAAGAAAACGAAAGCATCTTCTGTAATGTCCTTCCCTGTAACTTTGGCATACTGTGTCTCTGGTTACTGAATTGCGGTGAGAGTCTCATTTAGAAACATTAAAAAAAAAAAAATTCCTCCTGTAAAGTAGGGTTCCTTACGTGTAGATGACACTACAGCTTATTTTGGCAACAGTGCTCTATTTTGTTGTTGTTAGTTTAAAGATCACATCATGAAACTTTAAAGTGCAGATTGAGCGCTCATTCAGCATGGAGAACTTAGCCCAGGCAGCAGGGCACGACACTTCTCTGCTGGCAGCGCTCAGGTTTGAGCTACCTGGACCTCCCAGAAGCAGAGAACTGTGGACCTTTTCTCATCAGCAACATACCGTATCGTACTTTTGAGAACACCACACGTCCACGGGGTCCTTCAGCAGCAAGTCCAACCCCAGTGCAATTTCTCTATCCTAGGCCATTTAAACAAGAATCCTTCTCTTAAGGATTCTTCAGAGACGTAAGCAAGGCAAAAATGTATTTTTTTACACTTTTGAAACCATTTGAAAAGAAAAACAGTATTAGCGACTCAGGTGCTGTTCACGTATCTGTCTAGAAAGGAAGGAAAGTTAAAAGGGAACTCCTATACGAGGGGAAGGAAAAGGTTTTTTGTTTTCTCCTTGTATGATTGCCTGGCTCTGCCATACTCTGTGAGGAGGAATGGCATAAAAGGAGGGACTGTATTTTAGTAAAAAAAGAAAAAAAACAATACCCAGCTGCCTAACGAACTCATGTGCAATTTCACTTTTAAGATGAAAGGAAACTCAAAACTTACTGATGATTCAGATGGAGAGTCTCTTCCTCCTGAGCGATCAGATTTGTGATCTCAGAAGCTCAGCGGTAACGATGGAGGACGCGCAGGTAACAGGCGCTGCTGTAGTCCACAGTGCCTCTCCTAGATGGCTGCACCTGTTGGAACATTAACACGAAATACTGTAATCTGCTTGAATTTAAATTTAAAAAAAACAAGAATTTTGCTTCGTTTATTTTCTTTTATCCATTTGACTAAAGCTAAAGCTCTGGGCCCATTTTCATAGTCCTGTCACTAAGAGAAGGGAGAGCCAATGAATCATCCTGGAGAGCAGCGGGGATTTGGGTTACAGTTTTACTTACTTTCTTTTCCTGGACTCTTTTGTGTTGTCATTTCTAGGACGTTTGCTGGGTTTATTTATTATTTTGGGGGGGGG